TGGAAGGACAATTCTATAAAATACTGCATTTCCAAGCTGAAATTAATGTAAACATGGTTCTAAAAACATGGTTTGTAGGTTTCTTAAATTTTCTTTAAAAAGGCTTCCTAAAGCACTCAAGATTTTTCCTCTTCTGTGTCTAAAAAAAAAGACATGCCAATAAAGTGGCTATATTAAGGAAACCACTGCACAAAATGGTGTTAGAAGTATTTTGACTGTCTCTTGGATTTTATTTGCAGTAATTAATTGTATTCTTTGCAACATGTTGCAGTGTTTTTGCAGATGAAATTTTTTTTTTGCTCCTCAAACTGGTCTGTGCTTTTACACATACAAAATGCTTTAGTTTGAGTCCTACAATAAAAAAACACACTCATTGTAATTTCAGTGATAAGAAGGAAAAAAAATTCTTTCAACTTAGAATCATAGAATATTTTGGGTTGGCACAGACTTTTAAAGGTCATCTAGTCCAACCCCTCGGCCATAAGCAGGAACATCTTCGACTACAGCAGGTTGCTCAGAGCCCCGTCCAACCTGACCTTGAATGTTTCCAGGGATGGGTCATCTACCACCTCTCTGGGCAACGTGAGGCAAAAATGTGAAGTACCTCAGCCTTCTTGTCGTCTGTTGTTACTAGTATGCCCGTTTTGTTCATCAAGCAGGGGGTACGCTTTCTCTGACCTTCCTTTTCTGGCTGACATTCCTGTAGAAGTCCTTCTCTTACCTGAGTGAAATATAACCTTGGATGCCACTACAGATGCCTGACTGCAGCAAAATGGTCAAATATGCCGAAGTTATTTTAGAGATAGCAGAATGATCACATTAATAATTGTATGTGTCCAAAATATCATATGACAAGTGCGCAGTGTTGTGTTAAAAAAAAAAAAAAAAAGTGCACGGATTTCGTAACTTTAAAGGTTTTTTTCCCAGGAAGAGTTGTTTCTCTGGTTCAACTTTTAGCTCTGCAACAGATTAATCTTGAAAGAGGCACTACATTTCTCCTTTATATGCATGCTGGGAATAAAATGTAAAATATGCTCGTGTTACCTTGCAGACTGTTGTTCAGACAGCCGTTTTCCACCTTCTTGGAAATGCCAGCCAGTATGGATCACTGAATGACAATCCAGGTCCAGCCTGCTTGCATGGATCCCATGAAGAACCATGAGAGGCACCGAATCTTACAATAACCCCTTGGAGTGCGTTCAGTGCAGGCACTACAATTTTGCTGTACAGCACAGAATGACTAAGATCCTACATGGCAGGAAGGTGGCATAAGGTATCGCAGTCAGTCAGTAGTCTTGGCCTCAAGGCTAAACTACAAATGAGGATTTCCACCTGACACCATGTATAATAACAGCACACGCAGCACTTAAATTTACACGTGTATGCTATCACTGTAGTCTTCATCACTGCCAAAACACACTACCATCTAGAAACTTAGATGTGCGAATTATTTTAAACATGTAACAAGAATGTCACTTTTACAGGACTTTGCTCTGAAGGAAATCTGTTTTCATTTTACCTGAGAAGCCACCACTGTGGATAGGTCCTTGTCTGAATAAAGTTTTTTGCATTTCTGAAAATTCTATGCCTGTCAAGAAAAACATGATTTTTAAGGTTTTTTTTTTAACGATCCTGCACTGTCGCAGGGCCTGTCAGTCCCCGAGACGGAGATGCAGTACTCTGTACGGAATTCCTGTATGCACCCAACTCCGTATGGCGTGCTGCTGCTAACAAAAACGCAAACAGCTTTCAGTGTGTCCATCTCTTACCTACTTTGGCATGTGCACAATTATACCTTTGAAGTACACATCTTGACACATTATCACTTCAATTACCAATTTTAATTATCAATGAATGACAGCATCTGATCTACTCGTTTCCCCTGAGCAATCTTTCAGCTGCTGGTGTCTACTTTATGACCCAATTACAAAGGTCAGAAGCTCAAGGTGTATGAACAGGTGTATCCTATCACAGCACTACTCACTTTCCACATGTGTCTGAGTCTTTATCAGTTTTGGTTATTTATACAATAAAGGGAGAGAGCACGTGCACATGTACCAGAAGAACTTCCTCTCAAGTGGTCCCCAGATGCTACCCTCCCACTTCCACCCCCCCAAATTTACAGATTTACCCAAAATACAACGTCCACAAAAAAAGATGGTTTATTGGACTAGACTAAATGATGTAATGTTTAGACACTGTATTTGTATTAACAATGCTGTTGCAGAGGCACATAAAAATGACACATGGATTTTTTTTTCTGCCTGTAATTAAGTCTAAGCACAGGAAATAAGTGACAAAAAGGGCATTTGATGCTTTCCAAGTCACATAGCTTTGACAGACTATAAAAGACCTTGCATACCCAATAATTTAAATATAATTTCAACTTTTTGCCTTGCTGAATTCATTTTGTGCTTTTGAGTTCTCTTAAAGCTATAAAGAATTATAAACTATTAGAGCTTGAGAAGTACAAAGTTGATCAGATTCATAACAAAAATGTAGAGACAATCATTACAAAATACTGTCCTTTGAAAGGTATGTCACATTAACATGGACTCAGAGCATGACTGGCAGCTGTAGAGTTGGAATAACGCTATGAATAAATCTATGAAGCGACATCAAACAGGTCAGATCCATTTTTCTTTTCTTTCTTCCTATCGATATATCTCTTCTTACAGTACCATCGTGTCTATGCAGTGGATATCCCAGATGTTACATTTCTTTCTCTTTTTTTTTTTTTGGTCTTCTATGTTTATTGGAATTGTCACTACCCAAATATTTTGGGTAATGTTTTCAATTTAACCCAACAATACCAATCAAACTGCTGCGACCGTGCTTGGGTTTTGTTTGTAAAGTTGTCCTGAATGAAATTCCAGACACCACTGAAGACAATACACACTACATATGTATATTTACAAAACATTCCACCAGTTTCATGGCACAGATGGATTACGCATGAATCCCAACAAGCAATCACATCACTAAAATTGTCATAAAAATCTGACTGCCATTTCTAACCTCTCCTTTTAGCACCGTGGGCAACAAACTACTTGGACAAGCAACAGGTTCAATGGATCCACAACCAACAGCAAAAGATCCAGACAACCATTTAAATATATTTCCATAATAAGTTATATGTATTAAAACCAAAACCAAACCCCAATGTGTCTTGATCCTGGATTTTTCTCTGCACACCAGATCCACCTACTGATTGTTTGCATCTATATCCTTGGAAGAACGTGGCATCTTCAACCTAATGCATTAACAATCATGCACATATAAATGCTTTTATGCATATTCCACAGAAGACTTCTCACCCACAGTACAAGATAAACAGTACAACATATTGAACAGGCTTTGTTAAATCCTACTTACCATTGTCTTGTCAAAAAATGCATTATGCTAATATACAATGAGATTTTTTTAAAAATAAGTGAACAACAATTGCTCAAACAGCAAGTATTACTAATTTTATCAGATGTATTCTCCAGATTTCTTTACCGATCAGTCAAATCAATACAAACTAAACCAAAACCAAATTAAATGAAAGAAGACAAGCGCAAAATTACTTTCTGGCAGTACCACAAGCCATGGACTGCCGCAAACCTAGTGCAAGAACTGGCACAGATTAGAACTGAGCAACTGAGAGCAACCAGCAATCTACTAGTACACAAGTATATTGAAGAAATTCTAGATGAGCTATGAAGGAGCAATTTCAATCCAGTTGCTTACAGGGGGTGACCTGGCAGAGGACAGTCAGCATCAAAGACTGGTAAAAAGTAGTATTGAAGTACGCAAAATACATTATGTCACAAAATTTAACTTTGCTGGCTGAAGTAGCCAAACGTTTACCAGTTATCACAAGACAAGGTAATGAAGCAGCCCTACCCTCTCTCTTACAGGATCACAGAAGTAACTGGTGGGAAGCTTCATGAATAGCTTTACTTTGGCACCAGGTTGTGCTTTGAAGCCAAGCTCTAACATAGAGATCTGCTGCAAAGCCTTTGCCTCATTCACGTAAAACTTCCAAAGAAAGATTTCAAATCTTCCACCATATCAAAAAAGTTTTTATTTTCATTTGTTCCCCCTTTCCTCATAGTTCCCTCTCAGAATACATTGATGGTCTCTCACAGAAGTACACCTCATTTTTCACCAAAGAAGCAAAGAAAAACCAAAACATGCACAGTAGTAATAAAATATCCAAATTAAAACTTAACGCAAGGAAATGCTGCAAAAAGAATTCTTCTTGTTCTACACTAAAATCAAAACCAAGCTGTGTGGGCTGTGAAGTTTTACCCTGTATTGAGGCACCAAAGCTTTTACACAGAGATGTATGTCCTAACCAAAGATGCACTATACCAATCTAGCTCACTTTAGGACAATCAGAGGTTCATTCGCTAAATGAGCTCCAAGTTTTGGTAAAATGTGGTGACACCAGCTGCTAAAGAAGAAAACTAGGAGTCTTGTCAGACCTTCAGGAAAGACAGCAGTGGGGGTGAGGGGGAAGACCTGGAAATAGCAAAGATTTCTCCTGTGCGAGAGCATTACTTCAGTTACAGTAAAGAGAAGAAGCCAACTTACATTATGACAAGCGTAAGCCAGCTTTGGCACTTGTGTTACTGAAAATAATGTGGTGACTGTTCCCAACTCAGCAGGCAGCCAGCTGTGAAGGTTTATTTGCAACAGTGACCACTTGAGCAGCTGGGCATTTCTTATCCCAGGGAAAGCTTGCTTACTATCTGTAAAGCCACCCAAGTCCAGCTGTTATTAAACAGAGATGTGAGGTAATTGTTATTTCCAGAACGGGAATTAACAGGATGCCAAGGGTGACACTGGAAAAAGGACGGCGTTGAATTTTAAAATACATGAGCAACTAGTAGGTTTAAAATCTACATTGTGTTTTTCTATTTTAAGCCCTGTCCAGTGAAAGACGGTTTAACAGCATGAACTGCAAGTAAACTGGCTCAAAAAAATAACCGGAACAATCAAACCCTGAACACCCCTTAACTAAATGAACAAGTCTCTCGGGAGTGACATGGGCAAAGACCATACTTTTTGTAGACCAAACCTGATCAGAGATTGGATCTTGTTTCTTTTCTGTAAATAGACAAAACAAGTATTTCAAGATACAGCTGAAGCGGTGTCAACATAGCGATGTCCCAGGTCACAATCAGAATTTTGTATATACAATTTGCATTAACTTAAAAAAATAAGGAAGTTGAAAATACCTCCAGAGAACATTCTAGGTTAGCAAAACGTCCTGTACAAAAGTAGGCCACATCTGTTGGTTTAAAAGAAGTCCACAGCAGTTGGTCTCTTCTTAGCTGATATAGTAAATGGTTTCTTCATTTGAGGCTCTCCTGCTGGGGTACCTGTGGGTGACTTCAGCACCCCATGACGGGGTTTCTGTTCAGGATTGAAAGCCACACGGGAGGGTCCTTCAGGGCTCACTAATATGCTTTTGTCAGTCTTTTTAAATTCTGTTGAAAAACAAACAAACAAGTTAAAAGAAATATCACCCCATGGAATAATTTGGCATGTCAATTAGTTATGGAATTGTCCAGCCCTGGATGTCTACCTTAGATCCCTAAGTCCACCACTAAAGATCAGAAGCCTAGGACCTTAGGAAAAAATGGAGACATGGTAGTGAACCACATCTCTTAGCAGGGACCCTTCGAGAACAGGGTCTGTTGCAATCCACAGAGAGCCTGTGAACCGTTCCCCGTGGTTTCACAGACCACTAGAGACTCTCAGAAACAAGTGTTCTAGCTATACTGAAAAACACCACACTTCCGTTTAAAAGCTGGTGATGGGCAAGAAGTGGCTCTATTCCGAACTGTTAAACAGCACCGTTCTAGAGACTCCTGGTTACCCCTTCTGCTGGCAGGGAAGCATTTTTGTTCTTTTTGTGCGGCTACGTTACATTAACAGAAACACATGTATCAAAACCCACTATTCTCCGTTTGAACTCAGCCTACAGCATATCTCAGGCAGTAAAAAAAAAATAGCTAAATGAATATATGGAATAAACTTTCATGTTACGTAGCGAGACACTTACTTAACAGGGAAGACACTGCTTACATGTGGAATCCACAAGGGAATTGACTATTTATCTACTTGTTAACAATAATAAATCGGAGACAGCCAAGAAAAAAAACTGAAACTTTGCTATTATACAGCCTGAGTTCATCAGCGTATCAGCACCTTTGTCCTGGGAAACAGAAGTAAGCAATGAAGACTGTGAAGTGCATGTGCTTCCTTAAGAGGTGCCCTGTAGCACAGGGGGCTCAGGAAGGGGAGTTTGTTGCTCTGCTGCACTGTTTTCTATCTGTAAGGCTCCATCTGCAAGTCAGTAATGCAGCACCCCGGAATCACCCAAGTGTAGCTGTTGGGCTGAATACCCTAAACTTTACCATCTCCTCTGGACAGGAACTTGAGGATGGTTTATAAACTATATACAAATATTGAGACAAAAAAAGGATCAGAATCATCCTGTTCTAGAGAGGTGAGGACTATAGGTATGTGTGAGGGTACGCAGCTTCCCTCTTTCTCGGCTACAAGAGAGAGTGTGGAGACACATAAACGCATTAGACTCACCAGCAGTCATGTTTTTATTCAAGCCAAACGTGACTTTTTTGGAGCTGGACGACTGCAGCTTGTTCAGCTATAAAGCAAAATAAAGACATGAAATAAAATAAGATTTCTGAGGCCACGCTATGAGTTCTTTTACCTGCATCCCACCAAAACTGATGCAAAGCAGCTTACTTCCCTTCATCTGTCTTAGAACTCCCGCAATCCTCTAGCACTGGCCCCTGCTAAGACAGCACTGTTTTTCTAGCCAAAAGCAAACATGCTCCGTTTGTAGAGAAATCACATACTCTCACTAACGTCACCACATAATAACAAACAAAATTATATTTGCCTATTAAGTACACTGGCCCTCTGCACTCAGGCCTCGAAAGTGCAAAGAGAGCATGAAAATACATTAGATGTTAAAAAAGTTTCGAAAAAAAGGGCAGTCTTTTGCAGCCCTGCACTGTTGCCAGCCTCCACAAATGGGAAGATATGGAGGCTCAAAGTCCCTTACCAAGACTGAAAGTCAGTTTATGCTTTTGCTTTCTTGCAAAATAAGCAGGTTCAGAATGGTGTCCTTTCAACAAAAAGGTATTTTTGAAAGCAGGGGGGAAGGAAGAAAAGATTTTAAAGATGCCTGCAACTCATTTTCTGGAACTCTGGAGCCATGTGTGACTGTCTACAAGGAAATGCAACAGCATTTCCAATTTTACCTGCCTGTGTTAGGAGACTAACGCAGAGTGGAAAAGACAGCCTGAGTGAGGTCACGCCCTTTGCTGGGGCAGGTAGCTTGGGAAGAGACTCGTGCCCAGACTCAGCTGCCATCTGTGAGATCACATTACCTGCATGGATGCTCTGGTGGAAGAGATGGCGCTTCTGGCTTTCCTGAAGAATACCGCCTTTGGTAAAGTTGTTTTTTCAAATTTTATAAAATCACTTCCTGGTTTTGCTTTCTTTTTCTTTAATGCCGGTAGAGCAGCACTGCTTTCCTACAAAGGAGGGAAAGGAAAAAATGCTCTTGGTACAAAAGTACTGCAGTTAACTATACCTAGTACAGTGATCAGCGCTCAGAGATTACCACACTTCTATAAATATTGCCACAGCTGAGAGAGAGCTGTTGGTACTCACATAAGCTAATCATCATGGTTAACTCTGAGGAGTTAATTTTGCAGTTAGCATGACTGAAAGCAGAAGTTTAAGGCAAGCTCTGCATAGAAGAGGAAGGTCATTGCAAAGCAAAACAGGAGGAACTTGTAACACATTTGCCTGGCCCGCCAGACGCTTTCTTCACGTGCATGAGCTTGCCCTACAACCGACCCAGCTCTGCCGCGCACAAGTGCTGATTTTTTTTTCCTTGCCCTTAAGCAAAATCTCTTCTGTGGTACCTCTGGCTGCATAAGATACGCAACTAACGAACAAACCCAGCTTTAGGCTAAGACGGAGACTTTGGAGAAAAACAAAGTGCAGTACGAAGTCTGTCTATACTCTCAGAAACCCAGCTGTTGTGTATTGCTACTAGTTTGCCGCCTCAAATTCATACCGATGATTGCCATTTAAAGCATTCCTCTCCAGCACAAGGCAATTCTTAGGACCTGTACTGGCAGTGCCACTAATGAAGTGCAACTGCTCCACAGCTTTCCAACCTGTTGTCTATGGGCCCCAGATGTCTGTGGACTACTGTGAGGTGAAGTTCAGCTACGCTTCACATCAGCCCACAGATGTGAAACTCTGAAAGCAGTTCGCAGCCGTGCTGTGGCAAATGTCCAGGGGATATAGCCTCTTTAGATTTGAAAATCATTTCTGCTTTAAATAAAATGAAAAAGTACATATTTTTTAGCTTTCTGAATTCTGGAGACAACTGTGAAATAATGCTAAACTTGACTAGTTTTTCACCTTCTTCCCCTCCTCCTCCCTCTCGATATCTGGACGCGGTCCTGTGCAACCTGCTGTAGGTGAACCTGCTTTAGCACGGGGGTTGGACTAGATGATCTCCAGAGGTCCCTTCCAACCCCTACCGTTCTGTGATTCTTTGGAGGTGTGTTGTCTTTGAAATCAAGAAACAAAACACGCCCCTCGTGATTTCTGGGCACAAGACCATAATTACATAACTGAAACCAGGAAATAAAATATTACTTCTCAGGCAATGAAAACAAACTTAGCAAAGCCTAATTTCCTCCACATTTGTGCACTTTAGCTTACCCTGCTCTCTTCTTTCTTATACCAGTACTCTCATTGTCCTCCTGACTCAACTCCCAACTTTCTCTCCTGGTTTCCACCCCCCGGCTCCCACTCAACACACACGTATACACACAGCTACCTGGACTGGTCAAGAAAAGGCAAATGCTGTAGTTTCTTTGGAATTACACATGGGAAGAGTGGCTTGCTAGCCTGTTCACTGACTTGCCAGCCAGCCAACAGGCAAGTGCTGGGGTCACGCTGCTGCCTCTCCCTCAGTGGCTACACCAGTTTGTGCCAACACCTAATTTCCATGAAGCTTGCAGAAACTTCACCTTGAATCTATTGTGGGTCTTTGAACCTGTTGGTCAGTTGCAGCCAAGTTTTACAAATGGAGATGGGGTGGCATAATCATCGTTTCTTAGAAACTAAGCTTTCACAGAGAAAGAAAGACGAGGTGTGCAACATGGAATATTTAGGCAACAGGAGACAAAGCCAATGGTTCCTACTTCAGAAGCCCTGCAGTGAGAAAAATGCAGTTTGCATACTGGGGACAGAGAAAGGTTTTGGTTCTTCCCTCGCAGTGCTTTATCATCAAAAAAAAAACTTTGACATTTTAAGTTATTTTAATATTATTTAAGCAATGTTTCAAAATGCATTTTTTTTCTCCCTTGAAGAACTGAGTGGTTATATGAAGTTCCTCTATGAGGCCGCACTACCTAACTAATCACACAGTTTTAAATTTAAGTCAAACAGAGGTGAGCTGACAGACTAGTAACATGCACTTTTTAGTCAGAGGAAGATAGAGTTGTTTTGTATTCTGAATTTCACTTATGCTTTATGAATTTTCTTTCCACCAAAGTGGGATTGTCAACAAGACTTCCAAGAATATAATCCAACCCCTAAATGTGTTAGGGTGAATGTATACACAGGAAATGAGCAGTTAAAAACATTTCAGTGTCAGTAAAGGGAAGAACCTCTGCACTCTCTCTTAGTTGTGCTACCAAATATATACAGTGCAAAATGCTTATTGACTCTCAATAGCTGAGCAAAATCAACCCTATTCTATTTATTGCCAAGAACAATACAGGGGTGGGAGGTAGAGGGGGAAAAAACCCTAGCTTGTTCCCAAACGGCAAGATGTAAGTAAGTATTTGAAGACTATTTCAATCAGACCTTCCTAGCAAAAAACACAGTATTCTTTCTAAGAAATTGGATCATTCATAAACGTGATCATACAGCCATTGATGACTCTGAAGGTCACAGCGTCACATTCTCTGTTTGCTCTGTTCCCAAACAGCACTAACAATTTGTTTAAGATGGAGAAGGGAGCTAGCGAAAGAAGCCACTACTGGAACTGCTGTGGGCAATTTCACCAGGAGCTTACACTAACCCAAGTGTGCGCTGCTCTGCTGCTGCTGAAAAAGGGATGTTCCATCTTCCCGTTCTCATCCTTTTGCCAGAATACACCCTTTGTGAACATGCTGTAAGCTCAACCAGAGACCCAATGCTAAAGAATAGTTAACCCAGGGACCAAAAAAAAAAAAAAAAAACCGACCACAAAATGACAACCCCATACCCTAACAACCCAATTTTCACCTAGATGAGTTCTTTCAGCTGAGTAACTGGCACAAGCTTTAGTGTTGTTTCACGGGAGGGCTTAAGACCATGGTGGTGGGTGTGGATTTCTGGGGAACTGAGTTATTTTTGGTGACAATGCATGATGACATCAGCATGCAGCCTGCCCATGAAGCCCCACACTCAGAAAGCTAAAGCCAAATTTGAAAATGAGCCTGACAACCCATGAAGAAAGCAGAGGAAAATGAGATATACATACCCCTTTCCTGCTTTTCTTGCATGCGGGCTCCAGGACTCCATTGGTTTCAACAGAGTTTAGCACCTCTTTTCGCTTCAAGGTTGCTGCTTTCTGGCTGGAGACTTTCATCCCTTCCAAACCAACTAGCTTTGTCTTTGTCTTCAATTTGACCTTTCTGGAGGGTACAGATTCAGAGTCTGCACCTCCTGACAGGGTCCCCAGCACGCCCTCCTTGTTGGATTTCACATCAGTCTGCTGCAAAAGGGTTTCCCCATTCACCAAGACAGCCTCTGCTTTCTGCTTCTTTTTCACAGCCTTAGGAGTTAATGGTGTGACAGATGGGCTGACATCCTCTGCCTCACTGGCATTAGCTGGTCCATTCTGACATGCTGGTTTTAGAGGAACATTTTGCACTTTTGGATTCATTTTCTTCAACAGACCCTTTTTACTCTGTTCTGTGTCAGTCGGACTATTCTGCGCAGAGATACTGTGATTCTCTCTAGTGTCAGTTGCTACATTTGTGGTCTCATTTGCCTCATTTACTAGCAATCTCTTTTTCTTCCTTTCCTTGCTATTTTCTGGCACCTTTCCCTGGCTAAAAACATTAGATCCAGATGTTTCAGCTATTCCCTTCTCACAATTTCCATCAGCTGTTCCAGAATCAGCACTTGGACTGTCCCTCTTCTTCCTTTTTTTCCTCTTCTTCTGGGGAACTGATGCCTCCTTTGCACTTGACATCTCTTGTTCATCCTCTAAATCTATGCCAAAAAGAATGCCATGTAACACAGACGTGAAACACAAAGGTGCCACATCAATACAAGCTGTGATGCTACAGATACTTGCATGGGGTTCTCAGTAACTCTCTTCACCTTTTCAGAAACACCCCCAAACTCCTATATTCTAACATATATTCTATTTAAGAAGAGTGACATGTTTCTGTTTTCCTACAGTAAATGGAACTGCTCAATGGAGCAATGCAAACAACTGCTTTCAGTTCTACTTTTGATTGAAATTTTTGAGGTGATGCTTGCCTCAAAATTGGTAACAAAATTCCCACCACTTTCAAAGAGACTTTAATTTCAATTTAACCTTCATCGCAACATGATACAAATCAGCACATCCCAAACAACAGATCTGCCTTCTTCGAAACAGCTTGTATTTGATAATCCACCAAATTACACAAGTGACTATGGATTGTCTCTCTTCCAAAGGTTAGTCTTGCCTTACTTTTTACTTTTTCCAACTTGTTTTTCTCCCAGGGCTTGACAGCTTTTTTCCTTCGCCTTCCCCTGCTGAATTCATCATCATCTTCATCTGTAGAAACATCTTCGGGAAAATCTTGGGGAAAGATTCCTGTTGAGGAGGAACGATAAGGGATCTGAAAACTAATAGTTCTATTTCTATGACCAGTTATGCTGTTCATATACAGCGGTAACTCCCACAGAAAGAAAATCAACTTGTTCCCCATTCAACCCAAAATTAAAAAAATAAAAATAAAATAATAAAAAAAAATCACACGAGTGATTCCTACTTAAGTGAAAATAATCATCTTTCATTTAAGGACAAAGTACATGGTTGCTCAAATTGTGAAGGGGATTTGGTCTTCTCACCAAAAATGTGTTATGTGTCTTAACGAGATTAAAAAAAACCCCACAACCCCCCAAAACAGTATTCTTGAAATACATGTTAAAAAAAGAAAAAAGAAAAAAAGATTTGCAACACTCATTGTACGGTAACATCACATATCCTTTAACGGATAAAAGAAACTACTGTATGCTGCTCAGTCCTTACCTTCTGCTAAGTCCTGGAACCTGGAGGTGGGGACGAAGGGAGAGAAGGAAAAACAAAACAGTATTACTGGTGTACTACCAATAATAACATCAACAGCATAGTGTCATGGTACTTTTATGGTTTGTCAAAATAGGAACAATGTATTTTGCACAGGAAGTTACAAAGACATCTACCTCAGAAATCCATAAACTCAAACCAAATCACTGAAAGGATTGAGAAAACAGCCATTTAACACTTCTCCCATATCTGTAACTTGCATCACACACAATCTGATGTCACATCCTGCAGTACAAATCCACCCAGTGTAGATACACCTCAGCCAGCTGCAGTTGTCTAGCACCAGTAAGGAGCAGTAGCACAGGCTTCAGGCACCTTATGCGTGATATCCAGGGCCGCGAGACAAACCTGCTCTCGTGACATTGTCACCAGGACAAGCGAGGGTGGAAAGAAAGCAAAGGAAAAGTTGTTTAGGACAAGGTGGAACATGCAAGGTGTATTTCAACAGAACTCACTTTTTGACCAGCTTGTACAGGCGCTTTCTGTTAAGGGAAGGTGTATTTTTCTTGCTTGCCAATTCAAAGAGTTTGTCAGCAACAGCCTTATAATCAAACTGTTGGAGGAAAGTATGATACAGCTTTTCTTAGTTAGCTCATTCATGCAAGATAACCCAATGCGACTCATGTTATCAACACTTCAAGTAGCATACAAATCCTTTAAACAGCCACTTCTTTCAAACACAACGTATTTTTTCTGTTGAAATTTATATCCCCTTCACGCATGTAGACTGATGTTTACAGATGGTTGCTTCATAAACAGAACAGCTCAACTCAGTATCACTTTCTCAAACACTCCTAACCTTAATTCTTACCCAAGAGAAAAGCCAGCCAACTTCAAAACTCCCAGAAATATTTAGCTAAATATCAGATTTAAAGTGTGCCATGTCTCTATTTTTGCTTAAAAGCCACAGATGCATGAAGCGTATCTACCTGCACGTGTGTTTAATGGGTGGATCTGTCAAGAAAAGTACACTGCACTGGAAGTGGGTCTAAAAAACCCCAAATTGCAACATGTTACCCTCTCTCCTACATATCTCATCATCCATTACTTTTGCTCTTATTGTCAACAAAACTTAGGCTGATTGCTTCACCACCCACAGTGACTTGGCTTTTACCACACTTTTGAACTCTGGAAACAGGAAGGGAGGAGCAGAAAAAAAGACGGTACGGGAGAGAGGAAAGAAGAATTCAGAATTTAGACATGGATTTATTTTTTTATGAACTACTCCCAGAGTACACATTACACAAATAGCACCTCACATTAAAGGAGAAGGAGATTAAAATTTTGTAACATGTTTATCCAATTAACATCCTTTATTTCTGTACCTCTTGAAAGGGACAGGAAAAAAGAAAACAGAAGGGGAATACCAGTAACAGAGCATGCAAGCCACAAACCTGAAGAACAGCCCCGATACTGTCATCAGCATTTTCATAATCATCCTCTGTTTTTTCAGAGCTCTGCGCTGATTTTCTTGGCAAACATCTGCCTGCTATTATGAAAAAAAGACTGAATATTAATGTTTAGTTTGTAAGAACTGAGATAGCACACATTACTCTGATAAGCAGAAGATCAGGTGCATTTTTCTTCATGCGATCTTGAGAACCTGGACTGATTTACCTGCTTCATGTCACCATTATGCAATGCACAACTGTGGCATTATCTGAGCATCTTTTAAAAAACTGCCTCTGTACCAGAGTATATCTGGATTGAAAAGCTTCCTGCTCAGCTTTTTTATACATATTTTTTTTAATTTAAAACTCACACAGGATGCCAAAACCTGATCTTCAAAAATGTTGTGGGCACCCGAGAGCCAAAAGCCAGACCAGGTTATCATCTACGGCTGCTGCAGAAAGCTGATATTGCCTGGTTTTATAGAGATATATATGATTTTTGTGACATGTTCTTTTGGAGTCACTTTGTTTAAGCACATCTGAAGGGAAGACAGGAAACCACAATTACCCTTACCACACCTTGAATGTGAGTTTGACTGGTTCAGAGCAGAAGCGCATTTTTAAGAAACAGATTTTTAAATCCTAGCAAGTGTTACCAAGGCCATTTAGAACTTCCGCCTCACCTTTAGTTTTAAGCACCTCTTCATTCTCCTGTTTGTCTTCTTCAGACACATCCTCTTCATCACTGTTGCTACCCAGTTCTTTCATTAGGTCCTCGATGGCGTAGGGGGACTGATCCACAATGATCTCAAAGATACCAGTGGCTACAGCATGCAGCACACACCGACTGTGTTACAAGAGATCAGGGATGAGAGTCAAAAGGCAGAAGCACCCTCCACTCTCACGTTAAAAAAAAAAAAAACATGGAAATTTGAGGGACATAGGGAAAATGGGTAAGAAAGAAGAAAGTGGACAGGCATTTACCTCTCCAGATACGGAAAGCAAACCTGTTACTTCCTAAACTCTATATTACACTGCAACAACAAATCTAACCAGCTCAGCTGTTCCATGCGTGTTTAAAAAAAGCAAAAGCAGACGAAACCAAGCAACACAGGTTGATAGTTCTTATATCAACGGATGTAGATTATCTATAGCTTTTATAAACACGTGTTATCTTCAAATGACTGTGCACATTGTTAGTAAAATATCCTTCTTTCTTCACATTTTGAAGTTATGCTATGGCTCTTCTTCAATCCATTTATTACCATGTGGAGTGGCATAGGCAGAACTTCTTCATTCTTAAAAAAGTATTTATGCTTTCATGAAACTTACTCCTTCGATTTGGCAGCAATTTTGCAGAAAGGTTCAATGAACTTGAGATTCTGGTCTGCTGTGAGCTGCATGATTAGAAAGAAACAAATTATGAGTACAGTAAATATTGCACGTGTACAATCAAATTCCTTGAATATTTGGTATAGGGTGATCTTCTTTAAGAAGTTAAGTCAAAGTCTTTCAGCATGCTATCTAATTCCAACTGACAGGAGCATCTAGAGACATTTTGTTACCACTGCTACCACTAACTTCCATATATTCCCTGGAAGCATTATGAAAATGTTGACTGCTTTGCAGACTTTAATTTACTGAGTACAGCAATATAAAAAAGCTTCTTATTTTAGATATGGAAATATGAGGCAGAGAAAACTTAAAATAATTTTGTGCACTTTCACCAAGAGGGTTTGTAGCAGACAGGAATCGGATCTGAGTTTCTCTTAACTGGACTGCTTGGACCAAAACACTGTCAGCTACAGTAGTACTAAAGATAAAAATCCTTCCCTAAATTCAATGTATGAGCACCAAATTTCAAATAGTCTAGGGAATTAATTCCCCATGCTTCCTGTGAGTGGCTTAGCCACAGTTTTGTGACTGTGGAACTGCAGAAGTTATTTGGGTGCAGGCACTTTTCTTGTGCAGATGTCTTCTCTCTCACACACCACAATCCAGAACCACAAAAGCTGCAGGCAGGATTGCTTTCAATACTGACTGCAAAGAATACAAATGGAAAATTGCTAACAGCTTCGTCCATTGCAAGGAGATGTGTCAGGTGCCAGAAACAAGAGGAGGTAAATGAACGGAAGCCTGGAACGAAGTGTGGGGCGACGGGCAGCTCACTCTAGTGGAGTAACAGGAGATGGACTCTTTGGAAGAAGTTCAGCAGCGACAGCTGCAGTAACAGGCTTTCAGTTGCTGCAAAACTCTGCATCACTCTAACGTGAACCAAAATTAAGGGCAACGGAAACAGCAATATATAGCAGAGAAAGACAGATGTCATCAGCAAAATGAACAACTGGATGTCGAGGGTAAATTGCTCAATGTGCGGCCAACAAGGTTTGAAGCCAACAATAAGCAAATACCAAGACAACTTTGAAAGCTCACTTTCTTCCTCTATTTAGGTGTTACACAATCAGACAAGAGCAGCCTTTATGTTGGTTTTTGCAAAAGCAAAGACTGGCAACCATGTCCACACAAGGGAAAAGATGTTAAGTCCTTTCTGTTGAAACAAATGAGAATGGTCTAACTTTTCTATCGCTATTTCCAACCTCGATTTGGAGCAGTATAACAGTACTCAGGAACTTGAGAGGAACTACTATATTCTCACTGTCTACACTAAGACACGAGTAAAAGTAAAATCATAAATCATAAGAAGTCACTTTCTTCATGCTTATTCAATGTTTCTACATTATATTTAAAACTGCTAAAACATACATAATCTAAAAATGATATTTCTTCTAAAATGCTGTGTGCTACAGTTAACATTAATCAGGAAGAAAATGACAACATATTTTCTAACCTCCTTTGCACCAACTTTAGCCAATTCATCCAGATAGATATCAATGAAATGTAACTTTATCCCCATGGGAGCATGGCTGTCTGGGTCCATAATTTCTTTCACTAGTAGTGGCAGGAATAGGTCAATTAGACTGAAAAAAAAAAAGAACAAGATATTAATATTCAATGGCTCATGTTCTGTTTGCTTTGAAAACAAACTCTAGTCATTCATGGTTTTACCAGTTCTGTAAGACAGCTACCCAATGCTCATAAGAAATAAACCCAGTGATCAATTTTCACATCTAAAAGCAAACTTTTAAAAAAAACCCATCCACAATCAGAACTACTTTCAATCTAGATGACTTTGTAGCATTGGACAATCCACTCAACACAGTTTGCTACAGTGAAAATCACTGGTTTAAAATTCACACCTTAATTTGGACTGAAGTTTATTATGCCATATGATAGAAGGGTGGGAGGAGGGATTCTGCCATTTGAGCATGGCATTCCAAAGACACAGCCATCGTGTTCATCCATCCTTGATGGGCAACACCTCGTACGCTTCTATTTTATGAGACGATTCTCATTTTGGTGCACACCCAAGGATTAAATTTAATCCTGATCCTTCTCGAAGGATCTGTACTGATTAAATTTAATCCTGATCCTTCTCATTTCAACTGTGCAGACTTGGCCTTCATTAGAGCATGTTATCTACTGTCCCTTTGAGCAAAACAATTACACTGAAGAACAGCTTGAGGGCTAAGCTAGGCACAAAAAAATCATCATTCCAATAGCTCGAGCCAGAAGTGAGTGAGCTGTGTACAAGTAGGACTGTGGCTCTGTTCTGTTACTGACTTCTGGAGTACTAACAAAAACTTCTGGAGTGACACGGCTCAAAGAGACATGCTGTCATTGCTGCATCTAAGCAGCACTTGAGACTTTCTTTCTTTTCTGAGGCCTATCCTTGCTATCTTTCAGGAAAGTGAAGCTTTGTATATTCCATGCTTTCTCCCCTAGCATTCTGTGGGACCTCCAGCAATTTTACCCACAACAAACGTTTCCAGTTCCAAAGAGAATTCAAAGCATTCCAAAACCGTAAAGATTATTTCAGTTTTACTGCAATACTCCTTTCTTCAAAAGCATTTTAAAAGAAAAGAGAAATGGAAAACATGGTAGGCAGCTTCTAGGCTCCACCAAGGAGGGAAAGGCAGCTCTTGAGCTCCCTCACTCTGCAAAGAAAGGAATCGTGATGATCTCTTCCCACACTGCCTCCTCTGGTGGTGAAGGGCTTCCAGGCCAGCCTTCCAGTGAAGCTGGAAAAACGGATGCCAAAGCCGTAAGAGGCCTTGTCAGAGATCAGTTTGGATGATCATGTCTCTGCCATCATGGGAACGTGCGTTTGGAAGAAGGGCTTTGGCTTTATCAAACCTCCCCCCAACTTTCTGTTCCTGTCAAGGAGCATTTTCATCTCTTCAACCCGTGGGCATTCATCCAATGCAAAATTAAGGCAGAACAGAGGGGATAGGATGTACTTTAGCTTTGCATTCCTTTCTATTTCCACAAAAGCATGCCTGTAGGCATTCCACATTTCAGAAGGCAAGAGAGAGAAAGGATAACCTTAGCACTAGCTTATCAAGCACTTTTCATTAAAAGACTTAAAGCTCTTCATCAGTTTAAACAGAGCAACCTTAGAAGTGGCACAAGAGCTCTAGACAGGGCAAGATGACTGCAATTACTTGCCATTTGATAGAATATAGAAGAAATACAAACAAAACCGCTGATGTATACAACAAACAGGAAGCCAGTTTACAATTAAGAAGTTCTGTCTTATCGAAAGACAAGTCACCATGATTAAACATAGTAAAATAAAAATTAAAAAAAAAAAAGTCACCACCAATCAGAAAAACAACACAGCAAAAAAAAAAAAAAAAAAAATTCCTTTTATATATCTTCTGGGATGCAGGTTTCCTGCCTAATGTCTCCACAAGTGGTATTTCATTGATAGCTCTCCTGGCTAAATCAGACCTAGCAAACTCCATGAAAAATTTGGAGCCCTCAGATTTCGCGACTGCTTCGAACACTGTATGACAAGCTCCTGTGTTCAGGTTTTGCATAAGCATATTTCTCAAATCTCTGTATTAGTGAAACACACGCTAAATGGCTTAGGTGAATGTGAGAGTTACTGATTGCAGTGCGTATTTAACCTCATGAAGTCTAACACCTAACTTTGCTTCTAAACTACGTAAGTGAGCTGGAGAACAAATAACCTCGGTGTTACAACTTCATGACAGCGCCATCTATGGAGAAAAAGAACCTATTTAAGCGAAAATATATTTGATGAAGATAAATTGGACAACTTTTTTATGATGCAACTACATTCAGAAATCTGCTTACCTTTCATCCCACTCGTTTCTTTTCAGCACTTCAAAGGATTGCCTCAAAATCCTACGCATTAGCTGCAAAGTACAAAGTTTGTTACACATCTTGTTCATGAAAACAGATAAAGAAGTTACCGTGACTGTAATATGAACAGATGTCTTAGTAAACCTCTTCATAGCACAAAGTGGAAAGCTTCCTCACATAAACGTTTTGAAAGATGTGTCTATCATGTCAAGCAACAGAAGTATGCTATGAAGCTCAGAAGACAATAAACTATTTTCATTTCCTAAGACCAGAAAAAAATCCATGACTTTTTCTACTGTACACATTTCTTTTGCTCCATCACCCTGATTTCTTCATTAAGTGCTGCCAAATCTTAAAAAACCCACAGCTTAAACTGGAGACAAGAATATGGGACAGATGATAACAACAATAATTTAATTTACTTGAAACTTGCACTGAGACACAGCCATATGTAAAATGGCTACATTAAACTGGCTCAAAACACTTCACTTACTGCAACACCTGGTTTCTGCTAGCACTGAGAAACAAAAACCAGCAGTGAATGTGCCTTCAGTTAACTTCTTTCAAAGATTAATGTGATTTTGTTCTTCACAAAGTAGGTCTTTTAAGATTCTTCTCTCACTGATTTTACTATTTGTTTCAATATAGTGTTTCCTGTAGAAAGAATTCTGATACCTGAACATACTATAGTGGATACTTGAGTGGTGGAAAATCAGAGTGCTAGTGACAACTGCTTTATACGGTCATAAAAAAGTCTGTAAAGCCTGATCTAAGTAACTGATGCTGATGTAGTGTCCTCTGAGACAGTATTTATACTCTGTATAGAAATCAGTGAGAAACACCACTATGTCATAAAGGCAGGCAAACAAGAAAGCACTTGCAGCATGACATAAACTGTAATGGCTTTTAGATTTGCAGTGGTGAGTGAAAGCCTTTAAAAAAAGTACCTCTTGCAGTGCGTCAAGAAGATAGTCACTTGTTTTCTCTTACAACTTACATAAACGCACATGCAGACAAAGCTGCCTTCCAGCACACCACCACCTCATCTTTTCTTGCAAAAAAGATCTACAAGAGAGTCAGTATTACCATATAGTACTTATCAAGACGCAGATTGTCTATCCCATTCCATTCACGGTTCATAGTTTGCCAAAATGTCTGAATGAACAAGTGCTCTGTAAGAGAGTAAGAAAAAAAATATCTGCATCTGGCACGGTGGTTTATTTTGCTAACATAAAAGAATCTCAAGAAATCACTTCGATGTGAGAGGGGGACGCATTTCCCTAGGGATTCACCTAGTGACAGGGACAGAGGTACGGGAAGACAGGCCTGAGACAAGTACAAGCCAACTAACCTTCCGAACAACACAAGAAAAGGCACACAGCTACTTTTAAAGACAAGCGTAATTACAGGGACAGCTTTGTCCAAAGTTTGTGTTACATATGTTAGCACAAAATATTCATTCCGTGCTCATTTGTACCCCTGCAAGTTTTGGCATCGACTGAGCACTCTACTTCAAGGGCATTTTGAATACCAGGTGCCTAACGGCTCGTGAAACAAAGTTGGTTTCGAGTAGGAAATACACAGAATAAGTAAGTCTATGCAGAATGGCAAAGTAAGGGGACAAATTTGCTTTGCTATCCACTCTGCAAAGTCTCACCTTTATCACACTGGAGATACAACTCTTCCCCTGCAACAACCAGACACAAACTGCATCTCATGCTTCCCTTAATGCAATCACACAGAGCAGTTGGACAAAAAGCAAAATAAAAAACCAAAGCAGCACCCCTATCTGTCTGTCTCTTTTCTGGCACCGTGGTGGTGGCCTCAAAATTACCAAAGATGAAAGCACTTACAAAGCATTAGATAATGAAATACAACTTACGAGCCTCTGTATTCTGAATCACATGGATAAGCTGTGAGATATTGTCTGCAAGTTCCTCCTAGAAGTAAATAACTATAGTTAGTATAGCACATTTCGGAGCTTCGTCTCCTCATTAAACGTGCAACCAGAAAACACCAAGAAGTATGAATATCATGAAACATCCCTCAAAATGAAAAATATTATCTTAACAGCTGCTTTAGTACCACAGTTATCCCTCCACTGGGGTTAGGACAGTTGTAAGAGAAGATTCAAGGATATCAAGCTCTGTTCATTTCACCAGATCTCTGCAAAAACCATCTTTTTGACAGCAGACAAAATGAGAGGAGAAAAATCCCACGTATTTGAATTAACAAATGATGTAAAACTTTAGGGGTACTGTTTTCACATAACTTAATTGTGCTACATGTGAGACAAACCTTGTTCATATAGGCAGGCAAGTGATTTGAAAACTGATTAAGTGAGATTACTAAGATGTGGTTCTCCAAAACTGGTATCTTATGAAAGTAGGGAGACAAACTGGCAGTACTTGACAAAAGTCACTAGTAGAGACAAAGCTGGTAGCAGAGGAAGTGCCACCAAACAAACAAAAGAAAAGGAACTGTGAAACTTTCAAACTAGGCTAACTAAAGGTGGCAGGTGTGTTGCAGTTGCAGTTAAGGGCAACCTGCTTCAGTTCCACCAGATCAGTGCACTTCGTCACGGTGTAGATTTCAGTTCTGGTTTTGGAAGGTAAACAGCTACACCTGCCATTCAGAGGGTGACTCCA